CCCTGTGGGGGGTTTCACAGAGGTGTGAGTACCAGGAGGCGGGCATCGGGGACCACCTTAAAGTCGGTCCCTCATAAATCTTTGCTGAACAATTTACCCTGCCACAGGACGCAGCATACAAACTATGTACATGTAAAATGGTTGTGATGCAGGCATAAACTTAAGAGAGAGAAACACATACACATGTAAGTTCTGTAAATACTGTGAAACAGTATTTGGGTCAGAGGACATTACTCTTGGGGAATTGAAAGGAAAAAATGAACATGGGCTGGGTAGTTAGGAAAGGCATCAAGGAAGTGAAATTTGATTTCCTTGACTTACTGGTGGAATTGGAAAGATGGAAAGAAAAGGAGAGAGTATTCCAGAAAGAAAGATATGAGCAAATTTACCTCCTTCTCTTCTGTGGTGGCTTCTCTTCTCTTGTACTAGACATTATAATCCTCTCCCCTTTGGAGCACCGGGGAAAGCCTGCCCTGACGCATTCCCTCCCCGCTGTGTACCTTCTCTCTTCCCTTCCATTTTGTTCTTCCTTCTATGGGAAGGATGGTGTATACCAAGATGGCACCTCCTTGTTAAAAAGAAAACCAGGGGTTGTTCTCCCTTCCAGTGAATTCTGGATCTTAAAGCTGTGCCCTCTGTTCTAGTTTTCCAAATTTCCTTGGCATAATTAAAAATGCAAATATTAAAGTATTCTTAGTCAATAAAGAATTAATCAGTCACATCACAAACTCCTCTCTTTCAGCATATGCTGGCCTGAAAAGATAGGTCAGACTCAAGCCTGAGGGCAGTATACCCCAGGTTAGACAGATCAGAAGGAGCAGACAATTTAGGAGAGACAAAACCATGTGAACGATATACGGTTGTCAGGTTTTTAATATTTGTTTCTTGGGAGTTTTACTAGGGGACCACTGGCCTTATCTTAGTGTGGGGAAAGTAAAGAGCCTAGAAAAGCAACATATAAAATAAGCAGCAATGGCAGACTATAAAGTAAAGGTTGTAAGCTAGCAGGCAGCAGACCTATATATATATATATATTTTTTTTTTTTTTTTTGGCTCACCTAGGATTAAAAAAATAGAATAAGCCAACATTTAAAATTTAGGGGGAAAAACTAGTTCTGACGTCTCTTAAAAAAATAATTAAAGGCAACACCAGACCCACATCCCTTCAGGGCAGCAATCTGCTCGAACCGAGTAAGGGCCCCGTCCCCCCCCTTTCTAGACCAAGCATATTACTCCCATTTGTCACAGAATGTATGTGGGTGCTTCCAGAGCAGAGGGATCTCCTCCTCTCTTTAGTTAATTGCCCTGCAGTCAATGGAATTTGTCTCAACTCTGAAGCCTGCAGGCACTGTTGTCAAAGTATTGTCCAGATAGCACCTGCAGTGCTTTTGAACTCATGCCTGCCGATTCCTGGGCCCTGCACTAGACTGATTGAACCAGAATACCTCAAGGTGAGTGTCAGTCAGTCAGCATTTTTTAACAAGCACTCTGGATGCAGATTCTCGTGTACACGATGTATATACATGAGAACCAGTGTTATAAAGTTTCTTTCCTCCCTCGCTGTTCCTAAGGAGTGCTGGATTGGCGTGCCTGCGGAGCACAGGTGCAGGACAGGCTCCAGTGTACACCTGCATGTAAGATCGTTGCTGTGGTTAGCATGAATTGGTGTTTTCAGCTACTTTTGCTGGCGAAGCACATTGCAGTCGTCCAATTTGAAGGTTCTAAAGTTTAGTACACTGTGTGGTCTGCCTCTGACAGGAGAGGGTACAGTCTCTGTTGTAATTATGGATGGGAAAGATTTGAGTTACGTATAATTCAGGGTTACGTTACGCATGCTAGGTTAGGAATCTCCCTAGTGTGTGATCCAAGGAACTCTTTCTTAATCTGGTCAGAAAAAATCCCAGATCATTACTGAATGAAAACCAACCCTCTTCATGTACTTTAAAAAAATATATACACACGCACATGCGCAGGCACACACATACATATACATGCGTGTATGTTTAAAAGCAAGTTGCAGTTGGGCTACAAACACCAATGTGTAAGGGGAGGCTAAGTATTTGTGTGGGACTTAAACTATCTTATGTCTGTCTGTGTGGATTTCTTACACAAAAAGCATAGCTTTAATTCCCTTCCTCATCTCTCCTTTCTGTAAATTATGATTTACTGACTCACTAAGAGTTTTAGTGTCTTACTCACCCAGCTGATCAACTTTGGTGGTATATTCATTATACTCCTCACAAAAAATTATGAGAAACTCTAAGTTGTCAATGAACCTGAGTATAAGTTGATTGGGGTGTGCAGGGATTAGCCACTAATGCTGATGAATATTTAAAATTTCCTTTGGCTTTCTTGGCCAGAGAGCTAACCAAGAACTTCAGAAGGCCAAGTGTGAGTTGTCGGCCCATTATAGACTGGCCTAAGAAGCAGAACTGCGCAGTTGCAATGGTTTCATCTCTTGAAGCCAGGATTTCGCTGGCTTCAGACTGCCAACTGTTGTTCCCCAAGGATGCCTGACATCCTTCCAGTCTTTGGAAGTCATCATTCATCATGGAAACCATCATGAAGTTTTCCAACTTCAGCCCCTGGAGTGGCTTTGCTCATCTTAGGCATGTTGGGCAGCTTTCTCTAGAGCATAGAAGAAAGAGCGAGGAAAACAAGCTGAAACAGTGGCCTCACCAGCTGCTCAGATTTGGAAATAAGGGCAGCAGTGACTTCCAGAACTTGTCTTTTACTATGGGAAACACTGAGGTCACCGCAATTTACACTTAAGGACACAGAGTTAGCATCCCTTCTTGGGAGGCAGCACTTTCAATTAATCACAAATAGTAGGTCAGTTTTCATCAGTGGTTTGGGCTTCATGAACCTAATCATTATGGGATTAAAACTGTCTATGCTACATGAAAATAATAGAGAAATATTTCTAGTTAGACTTGTAAAATACTTTGTGGGTCAAGCCTCCCACAATCCTCCTATTGAAAGCTATGAAGCATGTCACAGCTGGAAAGATGGCAGTGAGATAAATGAATCTTCACTTTCCTATCTCTTTGTCTTAGGAATCTGACTCTCCTCATGCTTGTACCATCACAAAGTAGACTGGATGTTACATTAGGAAACCATTATTGAAAATATATGTGTTCAAAAATATAAGATGCTCTCTCTATATTTTGAAAACCCCATGGGAATAACAACCTGCCTGGCTTAAAAGTATGGAGGGGAAGTTTTGAAACTGTACCCAAATGTGGACCGAAGCCTCTTGTCGTCCGTCAAGTAGCACATTTTACAGACCCATTAACCTGTAATGTTCTCTGGTGGATCAGTTCAAAAGGTTTCTGAGAAGAATGAAGGGATGACAAGCTTTTATTGACTGGGAAAATAATGAAATTGAATATATTGGCAACATATTCCAGAAGCTCTAATGAGATTGATAGAAACATAAAGGTGATGGGGACCCACCCAGTAGGTTGAATGATGAAAGACTGTCCCATATTCTTGGATGATGTTAATATTGTAGTCCTGTACATGAACATTTTCAATTTGAGATTTTTAAGCCTTTGGAATTCTTCAAAATATGTGGAATTACACAAAGACATATGTTAGTTTGAGAATTTTAGATACTCTACTATGACAGACTTTCTCTTTCCAAGCTACCTCTCACAAATTACAGTACCCAGAGGAGTGTGCAGCCAAAAGAACCCAGATACACACTGAGTAACCAGGGCAACGTGTTTTCAACGAGGAGACCTGATCTTCCTAATAGCTTACAGCTTCCCATTCTGCTAGCAGCTTGGAGGGTACATATGATAAACATAAGACTTGCTTCTTGTCCTCAAGAAGTCTGAAGTTCTGTTGGGGAGACAGTATATGCCTAATGTGCTTGAATAGCTTTCCTGATAGGATGCAATTTCACGCTCAGGGAATGGAACAGACCAAAAGTGCATGAGATTTAAGATTGATTTAATTTGGGTCATCTCTATTACTCTTGCAGATACTGTTTTTAAAATTTGCATGATTTTATAAAAGAGGAGCTTTGGAGTCTGATAGATATTTTACTAAGTGATACAACGTGGCATAGTGAAATGAGGGCTAGACTACAAGCCAGAAAAATCTGGATTCTAGTCTCACTTTCCCCACTGGGCAGCTGGGAGACTTCAAACAAGTCCCCTGTCTTCTTCAAAGATTAGTTTCTACATCTGTAGATGTGTGTGTGTGTGTGTGTGTGTGTGTGAGAGAGAGAGAGAGAGAGAGAGAGAGAGAGAGAGAGAGAGAGAGAAATCCTGCCTTCTGCACCTATCTTATAAGCTTTTTGTGAAGATAAAGCAAAATTCAATGCTATATGAAAGAAGGCAACATCATTATTAACTGATTAAATCAAACTACCACTTGAATTTATTTTTAAAATGCTTTTCATTTATGCTGTGAGCGTTGCATTTTGTGTATAGACCTCTGATAACTCATAAACAGAAACTTCATGTAATGGCATCATGAAAATAACACTGTACATTTGTGAGGCTATATTATGTGGTGTTATCTCACTTGATTGCTGCAAGTAAGATATTTAGAGCAAAGATGATGATTATGTCCGCTTGTGTATATAAAGAAACCACAGCTCAGAGGCATGAAGGGCCTTAGTCTCAGAAGGTGGAGGAGCTGGGACTGGACCCTGGCTTTCTGACTCTTAATGCAATGTCCTTTCCCCAAAATTTTGCTGCCAACACCTTGCCAGATTACAGAAAGGAAATGAAGCTTTTAAAGAACTGTGTATAAAAGAAATGTCTAAAAATACTGCTCACCGTCTTAAATATCTGTCTGAAATAACTTTAGTAATCTTAATCATAAGAACAAAGTGAAAACATATTTTAAATGTGCAGATATTGTTTTAAAAATTAACTTCCTCTTAAACAGCATCGTTTCACAGCAAGCAGCCTTTTTTCCTAGCAACTGCAATTCACAGATTGTATTTCTGAAGGACGTTCATTGTTGCCCCTTTCCTCTTTTAGCAACAGATCAACTCCTAGCAACCATGATCGGATACAGCGTCTACGGCAAGAATTTCAGCAAGCAAAGCAGGATGAAGACGTAGAAGATCGCAGACGCACCTATAGCTTTGAACAACCCTGGGTGAGTGTCTGGTTCTTCTGCAATGAGCAGTCCCACAATTTCCCTGCGGGAAAAGCCACTAAGCCGTGACCTCAGTCCTTTATGAAATGAGACAAGATGGAGCCACATTCCCTTGACCTTTAACATACTGACCTTTCCTTCATTTCCATCTGGGTTTCATCATTGCTAATTTCATTTTATATCTTGTTGTACCATCTGTCCATTGCGTAATAGATTTCCTTTGCCTTGTGACAAGACATAGCAAAAGCATTCTTGCTCTCAACCATGCATTTTTTTTAGAGTTAGTAAATATTTTTGTATATACATTTTTCTCAGAATCGGAGCCAGAATAAATTTGTTCAACACGTCTGTCATGTATCTACTGTACACAAAGTGCAGTGTTTAGTAATTCTTGATTCTTTATTTTCCCCCATCCCCTTTGTGTGTTTGTTGAATCCCTCCATTGATCTGCCTATGTCCCTGTTTGAGTCCATCCTCCACGTAGCCACCTCAGTGAACTTTCTGAAGTAAAACTTTGAGTGGCTTCTCAATGCCCACAGATGAAGTCCGGATACCACAGTGTGGCATGCTAAGCCCACCCAATGCAGCCCCAGACTTGTGCTCTGACCTTGTGCTTTGCCCTGAAGATGATGGCACTTCTGGGAATGGGAGGCATTGGAGTGGATTTGGGAATTTGAGACGATGGGAATTTTGAAGAACTCTTTGGAAATTTGAGAGAGAGTCAATTAGGAATGAATAAATAGGCTCCTTGAGGTAGGAAAATCTAGCTGAGGTATACCAATCAACATGGTAATGTGACCATAGCCAACAATGCTTAGAGGACTAGGAACAGAAAAAACAGTTTTTTAGATTAATTCTGTGATAGGGCCATGGTAGAAAGTCAAAGAAGGCACTCTGCAGTCCTAGGAGGATACTGGTGACACATCACCCACTCTGGGAAGGGTGGTAAGTACAGCTCAAGGAAGAATGTCCCTGTTTGCCTGGAGGATGCAAGAAGGGTTAGCAGTTTAGGGGTTATAAAGCCTGGGAGGTTGTGGTCAAAACAATACAGTTTTTGGAGTCTGGGATCTTGGAGGTGGCACAGTGCTGGATGATGTTGAGGTCTAAGGCGTGCCATCCATGCATGTGAGTTACTCAAGTAGAGGTGATTAGGGTTCAAAAAGTTCATGAGTTCAGTTCAAAGTGTCGGGGATATAATTACACTAAATTTTTGGGATAGTAGGGGCAGAGGGAGAATGGTGTCAGGAAAGGCTTGACATGAAAAAATGATCCTGTTTTATTTGGGGAAGGGTAAACTTCCCAACTGACGTAGAACTGGGAGGTTGGTTATGTTGTAGGGGAGGAGAGCGCAGGGTGGGAATGAAGTAGGAGCCTTCAGTGCTAGATTGGAAGTTTGAAGAAGGATGGTATCGGGACAGAAGTGGCCCACTAGCCAGCTCACCTGGCTCTCCATGCCTCAGTTCTCTTATTTGTAAATCAGAAGCATTAGAGGAGATGTAGTAGGGTCAGTTATTAAATGCTTTATTAAAATGAAAATTTAAGAGGAAGCTGAGTGTGTAAGCTAAAGCAGATGTAAGGCGAGCTCCTCAGGTTGAACACACAGTTGACTGCTCCTGTAGGGCAGAGCTCCAGGTGTGGTCCACAGGCCAGCACCGTCCTGTCACCTGGGAGCTTGTTATAAGTGCATGTTCTTGGGCCCTGCCTCAGACCTACTAGATCTGAACCTCTATGGCCGGCGCCTGGGAATCTGTATTTTAACAAGCCTTCCTAGTCATTCTGAAACACATCCAACTTTGAGAAGCACTGCTCAAGAGTTTAGATCATCCCTGAAGTCCTTTTTCGTCCTAAAATGCAACACCCGCAACATATTCTACACAAAGCCAGAAACTATAAAGGCCTTTGATCTTGGGATTTAGTGATCAAATTGGAGTTGGTGGAAGCTTACTTTTGTGAGTGAAAGGAGAAGGACAAATGGGAGAAGCAGTTCTAATGGAAGGGCTTTATCTTAGTTCGGGTGGGGAAGACGGGGCCTTGGTACAGGCAGTTGGCAATAGACTAGCATCCAGGAGTAAACACTCCTCATGAAATCAATCCTAGCCTGAGTCTGACTCTGGGACTTAGCACGCAGGTTCAGCAGATTTAATATCTAGGAACATCTGTAATTGTCCTCTGCAACAATATTACTATTAACGGTATTTTTAATAACGTATTTAATTTTTCTAGATGATTAAGTAAATTGAGTCATTCCCATGTAGCAACATGACAGAAGTATGTTAATCTACTTAATACTGTTTGGCACAATTGACTCTATCTATTCCCACTAGATTTCTTAAGGAAGGATTCTTTTGTGATGTGCGGTAAACATCCTTAACTATGTGTATTTGCACAAAGGGATTGAAAGGAGGAATGAGTACAGTGACAGCCTGAAGGAGGAAACAGCAACCACTCACACACACAGAGTTCAACCTGCAAAACCCCACGTCTCTCACTCTCCAGGCCGCACCATGGGGAGCAGCGTCATGCCATTTGAATTTACCAGGAATGTGGATTTCAAACTAGCATGCTCCCAACATGTATTCTTTAATTAATTATTTAATGCATCGGATTTATTGAGTGCTTACTACGTTCTAGTCGTGTTTGGTGCTGGAGAACAAAGATGGGAAAGAAAGAATGCCCTTAAAGGTCTGCACTGATACAAAGGAAAGGAGTACTTTGCACAGCTTCTGACAGGGGTCTGCGTGGAGTATTAAGCACGGCGGAGCTGTGCCCTGATCGACTGTGGGTGGTCAGGAAAGGCTTGAAAGAACATCTCTTTGAAGTTGGAATATATTTTAAATATATAACTTTGGGAAACAGAGAAACATATCTTTGGGCACTAAGATTGAGTGGATTTATTTCTGGTTGGTGACATTGTATCCACATGCAAGATTTCCAAGTTTATTTGAGGGTAAACGAGCATTTCCTGCTTCTTAGTTCTAGATGTTTTTTACTAAGAGATGTGGAAATGATTTGATATCCATTTGGGTTTCTTTATAAGATTTTTTTTTTTAATGGGAGTGGTGAAAATGTTGGCATACGTTTCTATGTTATCTACTTAATGTGAACAATCATGTTAGGAAAAATGTTTGAGAAAATCTTATATATTTAGAAACTCAACTACTGAAGGTCATAAGCCAAATTATTGTGTATCAAAATGCCGTAGCAACTTTAGACAGACAAGTTGGCTTGTATTATCATTTCCTGTAATGACTGAGCAGTGAATTATTTGGATGACAGGCTGATTTCCTCAGGGATGGAATAATTTCCTAAATGGTGGGTGAGAAGTTGACCTTTTCTTTGCTTTTTATTTTATTTTTTTAATTTTCAAACAATTGGGATCTTGCAGTGTACTCTCCATTCTGCCGATCATGTAAATGAACTCACTGACTGTAATTCTACTTGGTGTATTAATTTTCATACCAATTGTCATTGTTGCCTTAAGAAGAGCTGCTCAGTTGTTCAAAATGTAGTGTGGTCTATGGTTTTTATTATCTGTTTTACAAAATGAACTCTGAGTATCTTGGAATCTTTTTTTCTTTTCCCGTATGTGTTCTGACCTTGAAAGGTCACTGTGTTTGGAAAGGATAAGACCATGATCTCACCCACTGGGATGGTTTGTAATCATTTTAGTTTTAAGGAACCACAAACTCATCTTCAAGCTGTGTGTACAGCTTCGACCATATTAGTTGAAACTGTCGTGCTTGTTAGAAATGCCCACACACAAAGTGCCACCAGATGTATCGTATAGAAAAATATCCAAGCCAGTTACTTTCCGTGCAGCGAGATGCCGCAGAAAATTCATCCAAGTAGCCCTTTTCGGTTCATCCATTTCCAAAATGTTCTCTCTAAACTCCAGCAGTATGGAATGCACCTGTTCCTGCGCTTTTGTTCAAAATAATGTTTGGGCCTAAGGGAGCTGATTTGTGGCACAAAAGGTCTTTAGATGAGCAGAGGCCCAGAAAATTTCCTTGGCTCTGTAATTGAAGTGAATTCTCTCCCAAGTTGAGTAAGAGAAGAAGAAGAAGAAAAAAATAGCAAGTTCTTCTCCACGTAGGGCCGGGTGCAACATAAATAAAGCAGCACGTAGCTTTAAATCTTTCTTAGGATAATGGAACAATAGCTGAGGTGTGAGGGTTGTTATCACGGAGCTCGGATATGGACGGGACTTAGTGTTGCTTTTAAAAGAATTAAATTGCAGGCTGCAGACGTAAGTACAGTATGCTGTTAAAACTTTGCAGGTACCTGAGTGTTGCCCACAAGGAGACCTGCTGGCTGAGACGATTGATAGATGGGATAATGGGGCCTTTAATAGCTATATTGCTAAATCCTTTCCAGCCCGGGTTGGTAGTGACTGAAAGTAGTTTAGTCCTTCAGATAGAAATTGATCCTCTGTGATGTGAGTATCTTCTTCTCCCCCAGCTTTCTTCCTAGCTGTCTTTGAACAAATAGAAAAAATCTGTCCTTTTCTCCATTTTCCTGTCTTGGACTCTTTAATGATTCCTCTTACCCTTTTAGAGTTTTCCTGCTTTAATTGGCGAGCCGAGCTGCACAGCCACCCTGCACTCCTAGATTGCCTTCCCTGTACCTGGGGAATTTGAGAAAATGTTGGATTTGTTTTTATCTTTTTTTTTTTTTTAAAGATTGGCACCTGAGCTAACAACCATTGCCAATCTTCTTTTTTTTTCCTTCTTTTTCTTCTCCTCAAAGCCCCCCAGTACATATTGTGTATTCTAGTTGTGAGTGCCTCTGGTTGTGCTATGTGGGACACCATCTCAGCGTGGCCTGATGAGCAGTGTGCAAGTCTGCACCCAGGATCACAACCGGTGAAACCCTGGTCCGCTGAAGCAGAGTGTGAGCCTTAACCACTCGGCCGCGGGGCTGGCGCCTATCTTTCTTAAGACTTCAGAGGTGTCTGCTGTCATTCCCTCATACCTTGACTCAACAAATGCCTTCTTAGTCCACAGTCTTGCAGTAGTGTCACTCTAAGTCAAACTGGTAGAAATCACCCCCTTGGAAACTGACCTGGACAGAGCCGTTCTTGCAGCAAAGTGGGACATTTTATTTATGGCAAAGGGCTCTGCACTGCTGCAGAGGAGACACCCTATTCTTACAGTGCCGCACCTCGCCCTCCTGCCAAAGCCTGCGTGCCCCCTGGCCCGTCCACCCACAGAGGCCCGGGGTGCTGGAGACTTGAGAGGCTGCCTTCAGGTGCCGGTAGCCCCTGACCCTGGAGGGCTGGCTTCTTTTGTAGAGCTACCCCTTTATTTTCAATGTCCCTGCTGCTTAAGATGGGGGAAAAATAGATCCAACGCTGGTTGGGAAAGACGAGATGAAGACAGTAGTGTGTTAAGACTAAAACATGTATTTATAAAAACTTTATAAGAGAAATTGTTATGCTCTGCAGACTTTTCAGCCATTACTCACATCATTAGTAGCAATTAAGCTTTTCAACATTCAAAACCCACAAGAGTTCCATCGATAGTTGTATAAACATAGCTTGTGATACGATAGAGGTGAAGGCTGAGAAGGCAGAATAGATAAGCAAAAGTTAAGTTTGTTTTGATTAAAAGTTGTAAATAAGTCTACTATAGAAAATAATTACCAATATTAGCCATGGCCACTTTTAAACAGAGTAAACAATTTATACTCTTCACGTGATTTAATGGCATGAAAATTATTTCTCCCCTTTACCAAATCTTTAAATTACTGTTTTTATCAGAATAGAGAATTCAGACCAGGATTATAGCATATTTGAATTGCTAAAATAAGGATTTTAAATCTCAAAGGGATAGCATTGTTCTTTCTGTTTTTGTCGCAGTCATCATCATCATTCTCATCATCTTCATCGTTCCATCCAAAGTGCACAAACCTTTTGCATTTTATTATTGTTTTCCAAACATGCCCTTGGACTCATTTGAAAATTTTTATTATTCATAATTTAAGTAGAAAATCTGCCTGAAATGATCATTTATGAGAATATTACATATATGTGTATATATATTTTAATATATACAAGTATACACACGCTTACATGCTACTCTTCCCATCTATATGAAGAAAAATTAGACTTAAAATTATTGAATATTTTATGTAAATAGTAATAAAACAGTAATGAATTTCATTTCATAAGTGACACACATTTATATTAAGCTCTAAAAGTCTTACAATTTTACCCAATTCTAATTAGTGCTGAAGCTTCGTACAGTGTATATTTATTTTTGTTCTTTCTTTAGTCTATTAACTATTAACAGCTTGGGGTTTGTATTTTTGTTTTTTTATTATCTATTTTTATTTTTGAAAAGTAAATGATTTTATTTAATTGAGAGAAATGCTTAATGACTTAATTTAGTGAGACACTATATGGAAGATATTTTTAATATTTTGTTTTATACTAGTAAGTGATATCAACATTGTATGGCTTTCCCAAGTTTTATGTAATTTTTTGTATAGTGTAAATAGTATCTCTTTGTAATCATGAATAACGACCAGAACTTTGCAGCTCATTTGCAAGAGCATAATTTTCACTTGTGGTTTTAAATACAAGCCACGAAGAGATTCACACACTGTGGGCTCCAGTGTGTTGTGTAATAGATAATCACATATTTATTTCTCTCTCACAACCTCTATTATTGTTATGGCCTTGACAACCTAGGCTATTTTTTTACTTAAAAGGTCATTGCATGTCACCAATTTCATCACAAACAAGGCCAAGGTTGTTTGTAATTTTCACTCTTAAAACAGAACTATTGCCTGTTATCTGGTGAATCTCCAGAATTACTACAATTATGTTTCACCTGTGTGTTTTCCTACATAGCTCTTACCCTGTTGTTGTGGTTGTTGATGGTGTTTTATTTGAAAACATGCACTTCTTTCTGCAGTTACAAATGATCTCCTCCTTCCTTTCTTTCTTTATTTTTGTAATTTAGGACCTCAGATACATTATTTTATTTCTGCCATAGGGATAGAATCCACGCTATTTAAAAGTCAAGACTGTCAATTGTAACACTGTTCCCACAATTTACATTTTTATGAGATCTTCATTGAAATCAGGAATCAGGTTATTTTTGATTCAGGCCAAGTATAAAACTTGCTAGGATAAACTTCTTTAGTCTTTGCTCTGGGCTGATGATGTGCGCAATCCTCCTTGAAATCCGTGGCCCAGTAAAGTTTCCTCTTAAGGATGATTCTTTTTAATAATCCCCCCCCCCCTTTGCTAGCTCTACAAAAGATGAATGAAGTAAAATATTAATGGTAAGGCTGAGGTTTCTATTCCATTTTGGTGAGCATAACATTATGAAATAGGTCAGTTTGCTGATACCAAACTCGTTCCCTCATTTTAAGTTTTCAGACCCCATCTGATGATAATTTCGTTATTGGAACTCATCAAGATCCAGCTAGATGCTTGCTGCTGGTAAGGTTTGAGGTGAAGTGTCAGGAAACACACAGTGGAGGAAACAAAAGCCCTTCGACTTCGTTTTTCCTCTGTCGGAATCAAATTTTCAGGCCTCTGGGAGAAACTACTTAAAAATACACCTGAAATTTCTACAAGACCTTGCATTTTCTTTTCACAGCTCCACAAGCAGTGTGTCATAGAACAGCATGAGCTTAAAAAGCTGGTTACTAGATCCTGCTGCAGAATGCCAGATCTTTCAAGACTGCTTGACATGCGTGGATAGCTGGTGCTGAGAGGAGAGGAGAGGAAGATGTGGTTCTTTTTGAGGGCGTACAGGAAATCGTGTAGGATTTTCTAGCTTGCTTTGCCTGTCTAGTGGCTTCTCGCAATTTTCCCAGGGCCCACCATGAACGACAGAACAGCTCGGTTTTCTTTTCAGCCGGCCTCCTCGAGCATAATGGAGAAAATGTCTGTTTCCTGTAATGGAGCTGGTGAACAATTGGTTGGTGCTTTGTTTGCATAAGCAGAACTCACCCAGTGAAGTGTTTGCCTTGCTGAAGGCACCACTGATGTGTTATGTGAACGGTGTTGTGGAGCAGGTCTCTGAACACACATTCGTTCCAATGAGTGTGGTTATAAACATCCGCTAGTAGAGACTGGGGTATCGTAAAGCTTAATCTCCTCGCGCATTATTTTTGTATCGGGATATTTTTAATATGCTCACTGACTATGCCCATATGCTTTGAAATTTTTGTCCTGTATATTGCCTTGTTATTGCTTACCAACAAATGAGATAATGCTGGCCAGGCAGAAAAAGAACAATAGATGATGCTTTCTTTCTGTTCACACAAAAGGCAACCACAGGAGCCACCCTTTAAGTAAAAAGCCCACATGTGATCTTACAACTCTCCAAATGAGGGCTAAGACTCTGTTATTTTAGAAAATTATTATTGAGTCAAAGTCTGCCATTGGCTTTCACCTCTAAAAGAAAATCAATAACTTGTTTTTAGCAGACATTCTTTGCTCAGAATATGCCTATTGCACAATGTTGCGTAACACAAAGGGGACTAGAGGTTAGCAAATACCAAAGAGGCTTACTTAGTGCATGCCGCCGACACTGTGATAAACCGTTGTTGGGTGTTTTGTAAAGTGGGAGGCATCGTTGTCTGTTTTGAACAGGTCTAGGAGGTAAGCTGGAAACCATCAGTGAGAAGCTGAAGTATCCACAGGGGCTGGCTCTGCCCAGCGCAGTGTACACATCCAGTGTCTGATTTTGGTGAGAGGCAGCTGTCAGCAGATGACCTGCTGACCAGGATATTTAAGCCAGAAGGATTGGAAATTTCTCTATAGGATATAATTCACCTAGGTAAAAATGCCATTTCCTCGTAACTAAGGCAAAATGTATTCTAACCAATTCAAGTAGCTATTAGCTTTCAGGTTTATTCTTTTGGTAAGCATTTCTGTTCCCGTTTGGCTGCCATCATGGATTGGAGGAGACCTGTACATGGCTAACCGTGCCTGGTTTCAGCTAATCTTGGTCAAAATTTAACTGTCATCCTTTAGTAAAGGAGGAATCAGCTATATTGTATCCTACTGCTAGACTAAAATATATACCTACCAAAAAGATTCACCAGCATGGCCAACTTGCAAGCGTGCACCCATGGCCTTTCCCACTTTTGTGAATTATTGTAACAAAACTTTTCTATTTATTTATGTATTTAGCATTGACGTCTTCTAGTTTTCTGAGCAGCCTGACTCCTCCCTATATTTTCCGTAGTTACAACGGATGTAAACTGGTATGTAAGGTCAGTATTTACCAAACCTCGTTAAGAAGACTGGAAAAGTTGACATCTCAATTTTAAGACGTTCTAAAACCATGATCAAAATTTCAGGTGATTATTTGGGGCTCACAAGAGCAATTAGCTGCCTTTTTTCCTCTAAGAAACTTGAAAGTATTGCCCTTGATTTTTTGAAAAATTCACAGAATTGGCAAAATGTTTCTGGTCAGTCTCTAAGAATGAAAATTAAGTCAGCCAGTTATGTGCTGTATGTAACTCCTTTCTCGTTCACATGTGGCATTTTCTCTGCAGCCCAGCTCCAGGCCGGCGGCGCAGAGCGGCAGGCACTCGGTGTCCGTGGAGGTCCAGATGCAGCGCCAGCGGCAGGAGGAGCGCGAGAGCTTCCAGCAGGCCCAGCGCCAGTACAGCTCTCTGCCCCGGTACGCCGACCCTTGCTCAGCGTTCTTCCCAGTCCTTTAGGAAATCCCCCTTCCAAAATGGCCCTGGCTTCTCCAGCTTACACACGGTAGTCATAGAGCAACTGCAAATGGACGGTGGGAGTTGTTGCTTAGCTTCGAGGCGTCTTACTGTATGGCAAGAGATTGGGAAGAAAGGTTTTTCAGGAGATGCCAACAATTTGACCCAAAAGCTCCCTAACCGAAAGCAAAGTAACATGACTTATGAGTACTGGGCTTAGGGGTCAGACCTGAGTTCTGGCATTGGTTCTGCTCCTTTCCATTTGGCCACGGACAAGACAGTTTCCTCTTCTGAAGAAAGGCGAAATAACTCTCATTTTGCTTCTCTCAAAGGTAACTAGAGTAAATACTTTGTAAACCTAGAGGTCTGTAGAAAGATAGAGGGTGAATGCTCCACGCCCTGCACTTTGATGGGATCCGTGGTCCCAAACGCCCTCTCTCCTGTCCTCCATCTCTGCTTGTGCTCAGCGCTGAAGCTCAGAGCAGCTAGGGCTGCCCACCTCATTAGCTGATGGCCAAGCCAGAGGGTTTATCTGCGGAGCTCCCCGCAGGAGGCGCTTCTGCTGGGAGCTTCTCTGCCAAGAGCCTGGAAAGTGCTCAGGTGACTGAGCCCTAATACACTGAAATAATAGTCATTTCCCATTCAAGTATTTCCTCTATGCATGTAAAGAATAAAAGTATTTAAAAACATTCAGCTTTCCAAACTTCCCCAAACCAGTCACTCCTATAATCACAATTCTTGTAGGCATTTGTTGACAAACACCAGGTGGCAAAAACATTTTGGGTGGAAAAAAATCCACTTACCATGGTTAAGTAGACTCTTTTCAATTTGAGCAAAACAATTTTGAGGTTGGGAGCAAATACTTATCTGTGTAAACTTGACTGGTCCATATAAAAGTGATCTAGATTCCATTTTTAATAAGGACATTTAAATGCTAAATGGTCACTATAATAACCATGAGAGACTTTCCCACCTTGACACGAGTCAGCCCAGTGAATAAAAATCTGTACCAGGATGGTACTGTCGATTATGGTAACTCATTCACTTGGTTGTTCTTTTCAGTCCATAAAGCTGGATCTCCTTTGAGGACTAACCTCTTTTTCTTTTAAGTAGGAGCATAGCGCTTATTTAGCCCATTCCAGGTAAGAGTTGTTGAAGTTTAGGCCTGGACGGGACCTTGAGATAATCTCGTTGTGCAAGGAAACAGCTCAGAGAAATTAAGTAACTTCCCCCAAGGTCACACAAGCTAGTACATAATTCTGCCAGAATTCAGATCTGAACCTGCCCGTGTGCTACACCATTGTTTTATAAGGCTCATGGCTACTGAGGGCTTTTGTTCCCAAGTCTGGAATGTTAACAAACGCAGGTGTAAAGTTCCCTCGTGCCCCACTGCCCTTAGCTTTTGGAAGAAGGCCACGGTATGAATCAATCCAATGCATCAAATGCTGAACGCCTTAAGAATTTTACATAAAGGTTCTTCTGTGTAAAATCCCTTCCCCCAGCCTGTTTGGCTTACTTTCCGTTGGGAAGATGAGTGTGATAATGTGAATGAATTGACACAGCTGGCGTGGCCATGCCACCACAACCACACGGGTGACCCATAGCACATCATGGCCTAAGTGAATGGCATTGTCTGTGCAGGGGCTGTGGTCTTGTTTTATCGGCAAGTTGTTTGGCTTCATATATTTTAGTTGTCTTTGAGTGTACTTAGAAGAAATGAAGGAGAAGTATCACCAAGTGTATATGAGAAGAGGAGTGAGTTGGGCAGTGTGGAGGGCAAAGGAAGGGAAGTGGAGAGACGGTGGCGGGAGAGCCTGGAAGGACAGGGGACCTGGCGGGAGAAGGGACTCTAGAGCTCCAATCATCAGGAGGAGGACCAGGAAAGATGTGGGTACTTCCAGTGACTTCTGCTCACAGTCCACAGTCGCTCAGTATTCCACACTACTCCTTTTACCCTCGCTTTCCTCTCCTCCTGCCCACCTCTCCTCCTTGCTCCCCTTCCTTCTGCCCCTCCCTTCTGCAGCACCTGGTGGAAGTATCCATGTGCGTGGAGAAGGGAGCTGCTGCCGCTGCTGCCATTTAGCATTTCCCTAAATAACTAAGACTTTCCTTCTAGGATAATTGTAGCTCCCTTATTATTAGTCATTGTATTCTGTGTAGACATGAGAAAAGCAGAAATCCCGAAATGAGAGCATTGTGTAAGTTCAGGCAAGAGGGGCTGGCAGGCGTCTCCGTCACAGTCTCTTCTTTTAGAGGATAGTTTCTCATTGCAAATCTTCGCATCTGTGAGGAAGATTTAGAAGAGCACCCCCTGCCCCAGCCTTGATTCCTTTCAGAGCAGCCCGCTCAACCCCAGGCTGTGTGCAGAAATCTGGAGTAAGGTAAAGGGCCGAGAGAGCTCGCAGCAGCCCACCGCGTGCTTGAGTCAGGTCCAAGTTTCTGACACGGGATGTTCTTCAAAGATACTGACTTCTGCTTTTTGGATGTTGACAGTTAGCAGAGTTTTGTCTAAACAAGTTGGTATGGCATTTGATACCAGAAAGATTTCACGCACAGGAGAAGCTCACTGGCAAAGTGGAGCAGAAGTGAAACAAATGGTCGGGACTTGGTGTCAGCCGCACGAGATAAGGTGGTTTGAATTAGAGGGATGTGTGTGAGCCTGGGCCGTGTGAATTCTTGCTGTAATTAAGGAAACCTGTAGAATTCAAGCTACATTTTGAAAATTCAGTAAGAAACACTCGCCAGGTGGTAACACTAGTTCAGGAGGAAAGGGGAACTGAGTGGCCCCACTCTCAGTTCTCAATCAGTCTAGGGTTTCTTCTTTTCTTTTTTTATTCCTAAATTAGTTTTCTTTTTTACTTTCTTTTTTTAAATCCTTTTTAAATTCCTAGATTAGTTCCTTAGTATCCAAAAGGCAACTCTAAAATTGGGTAGAAGTATGTTCGGTCATAGTCACTGATAGAAAACTTATTTAAGATCCTTTACTAAGTTTTTTTCTTTTCCTGCCCTCTCACCATTTGCTCTTCATCTCTTCCTGTCCCTTGGCTTCACGTCTGTTGGTGTCTGCCTCCTTTGCTTGGTACGTCTCACTTCCTCGCCGTGTCTCTGCACCCCGACGTGGTCTCCCCGCCAGGCCCATTTGTTATGTTTCTAGGCTGCTTATCAACCTGTCAGCCTTGGTCTTTATATTTTTCTTCTGCCTTCTGTGTCCTCCTCACTTCGTGACTAAATGGCTTTCCTCGGGTGCTGGGGCTTTGGTGTAAGCCCTCTGCGTGATGACAGTCTTCTGGCCGCATCAGAGACAGTGCGGTTGTGGAGATAGTTATTGCCAAACCAGGCTGTGTGCTTGGAGTGGATGCGGAAATCTCTGGCGGTCTCCTTCCAGGACTGAGCACACGTGCGTGTTGGTTATAATGAAATGCAGTGGAAGGAGGTGGATGTTTTGTTGCTGCTCTTATTGTCTGTGGCCTTCGAGCAATCATGGGACGGTTGAAAACTTCCTTCTAGTCTCTGAGGAAGTGTTTGTGGAGCTGCCTTCGCTTGGTGAGGGTTTAGTTAGTCTTTGGTGCCTTTCTTGGCTCCTTGATCTCTACCTAAACCTTCTGATGAAAGAAGGAGAGCTGATGTTTTGAGGTGTTTTTCCCCCTTGGTCAGAAAGATGCTCCCCCAAACCCAGAGTCTAAGTCACTTTGCCTTCAGACCACTCCTTCAACACCCACTGGTCAACTATTTATTCCATGCCACACTTTTCCAAGCACTTTACATGTGTTATTTATTTCTCCCCATAACGCTATGAGGTTAGATATCATGCTTGTTTCACAGATGATGCAACTTGGGCCCAGAGAACATAACCCTCCCAGGTCACACAGCTTGCAAGCAGCAGACTCAGAATTTGAATCTGTGTCTATTTGATGCTAAGCCACTCTCCCACTGTGCCCAGTCCTGAGGTGACTAGTTTTCTAGTGCAGGAAAGTTGTCCTATTGTCCACTGCTTCCTCATGTTTCTTTACAATCTGCTCATTTCTTGTCTTCTCCTTAATTAAGAGCTTATTGATACCACTAGCTTCCCTACCAAGAAGGCATCTATGTGTCTGTGTGTACGTGTGTATATGTGTATGCATCTATGTGTGTGTACTTTCGCCACGTATCTTACTTCAAACCTCAGGGAAGTCTGCTTCCTTCTCTCTAGGCTGCTTAATTTAAAGAAAATTTTAGCTATGAAAAGTTCTTTCTCCTACCTTATCATAATTTCCATCCCTAACAAACCTTTAGTGAATTCTCAATGTGGTTTTTTTGAAGAAGATTAGCCCTGAGCTAACATCTGCCGCCAATCCTCCTCTTTTTGCTGAGGAAGACTGGCCCTGAGCTAACATCCGTGCCCATCTTTCTCTACTTTATATGTGGGTCACCTGCCACAGCGTGGCTTGGCAAGCAGTGCCATGTCCGCACCTGGATCCAAACTGGCGAACCCCGGGCTGCCAAAGCGGAACGTGCGCACTTAACCACTGTGCCACCGAGCCGGCCCCTCAATGTGTTTTAATATAAAAAGACTCTGTCTTCCTGGGATGATTCAAAATTCAACTTATGGTGCCTATCTGCCATAGGGCGAAGCCTCAGGCTTTATCGAGTTGAGGAGTGAGGGTGGAGAGGGTCGGCGGATCCCAGTAGGCAAAGGATGAGAAAGGTGACATTTCTGCAGCCTATTTCTGGTTATCTTTAAATTGATAACTAACCCATTAAGGAATCCTGCTCTTGTTGCTGTGATGTTAGTAACAAGTTCGTTGTTGTAATTAACATTTCCTGATTAATGTCAAATCCCTGGTTTCATGCTGGCACTTTCCATCATTCATGTCTCTGGGCAGATTAATTTATGACTTTTTAAGTGAAGATAATCAGTGCTTTAGGCAAATAAACTATTCCATTAAATATAAGAATTCCAATAAATATAAGGGCTGCTTGTACCAATGGCCTGATTCCCCTTAAAGGAGAACCAGATAGACGTACTGTGGACTGCTCAATTAATCGCAGTCATAGGCAGAGACGGTGCCGGGCGGTAACTCATTTTCCTTGTTGAAGACATCCCTGACTACATTTTAGCCTATATGGGAAATGGGCAGATTTCATCCCAAACCATATTGATGGCACTTCTGAATGTTCCAAAATGCAAATTGCTTCATTTCGGTCGGAGACCCAATAGATGCATAGATCTCGTTCTCCCTCTACAGGAGTCTTTTCGAACATTCTGTCATGTTGAGTGCATTGATGTGAAAAGCTGAGCAATGCATACTGTCACTAAATGATTTTCTTACTGATAAATGGAGCAATATGTTTTGTTTTATTACTCAATTCTCTCTCTCTTTCTTCCATTTTCAAGGCAAAAAATTAGGGCATGTTTTCCTTTCTGGTGCAAAATTGTTTTACTTTATCATAGCCAATCTTATTGTAAATTCATGAAAGCATTTAGAGACTTGATAGTAAATTAAAGATATTTCAAAATAATAATGTTTCCTGAAAATGATGTGCAACTTTACTGCAGAAGTAATAAGAATTTGGAATTTCTTTATGACTCTGATTTATTTTCCTATCCTGAGATGACCAAAAGTGCATGAAGCAGGTCATCCTGGGCATTGGGGAGGGGACAGTACTGGAAAACAGTGCTTGCCCCACAGACTTCCAGCTTCTACAGTCTTGAGGAGCGTGTATTCTGAGGGATGTCAGTTGCTGACATGTACAGCTCGAAACAGGGGCTTTTGGGACTGCCTGTTGCATTTTTAATCAGAAAGGAGTGTAGACTTAAATCTTTCATAACTGAACTCATACTGTAATCCATTACATGTACTTTCTATTAGCTAGCATCTCTGGAATGATGGTGGCAGCTGTGTAAAATATTTGTTTTGCTTGTTTAGAATTGAATTGTAACATTGTAAAGCGAGCATTATTGCTGGGGTAGATGCTGCCAAATCTCTAATACTCCTATCCAGCATCTTGCCAATGTGTCTAAATTGCAGGAGACATTGTCACCCTAAGCAGAACAATTGGTACCTATCCAGACACAGAGGAGGACCCTATTTCTGAATAGCCACTGAATCTATTAGTTCCCTCTCCTGTTTAGCTATTGTTGACTTGTCTGAGATTGTGAGCTGGCTGAGGACAGTCATGTTTTAATCCCCCAGCCCCTATCGCAGTGCCTGGAACAGAGTTGTGTTTGTTGAAATATTGAAATGCGTTTTCCACCTCACCCTCACGCCTTCCCTCCTTCCCTCCCTCTCTCCCCTTCTCCCAACCCTCACACTAACCTTCGGGCTTTGCTTTCCAGACAAAGCAGGAAGAACGCCAGCTCTGTCTCCCAGGATTCTTGGGAGCAGAGCTACTCCCCGGGAGAAGGCTTCCAGAGCGCCAAGGAGAACCCCCGGTACTCCAGCTACCAGGGCTCCAGAAACGGCTACCTGGGCGGGCATGGCTTCAATGCCAGGGTGATGCTGGAGACCCAGGAGCTCCTTCGCCAGGAGCAGAGGCGGAAAGAGCAACAGATGAAGAAGCAGCCCCCTCCCCCCGAGGGGCTCACCAACTATGACTCATATAAGAAAGTCCAGGACCCCAATTACGCCCCTGCCAAGGGGCCCTTCCGGCAGGATGTGCCCCCCTCCCCTTCTCAGGTCGCCAGGCTGAACAGACTCCAGACCCCTGAGAAAGGCAGGCCTTTCTACTCCTGAGCAGGAGAGGAGTGGATGCTTCATGTCAGGCAATAAAGGACATTTTCCTATGAAGACTTGTATTTGGGGAGTTTTTTTAAAACCTCGATGGTACTATGGAATATTTCTGATGTTGGTATCAGTGCCTTTAAGCAGTATGGGCAAAGAAATGGAAGGCCTTAATGTCTTTGCTGCCATGTCTCAAGTGTCTATTTCGTGGAAGGATTTCCCAACATCTGACAATCATCTTTTTGAGGCATTCATATGCTCTGCATCTCTCTGGAGTACCAGGAATCTTGGCCCAACTCATGAGATGTCGTGGCTTTGTGTTTCAGCCCCTACAACTGTGGTGACAAATTACCTTGAAGTTGAGGGGGACGTTGATCCCTCTTTTTTCTCTTTAAGTTTCCTTAGATGTGAGGCGACGTCTCCGTCTCTGGTGGATGAAAGTGGTGAGGTACACCAGAAACGGAGGCTTTACGGTACTTCACAGCGCAGTCGTTAGAGTACTTTATAATCATATGGTTTCCCTTTTCCATCTCGGCTCATTGTAACAGGAAACTTCTTTCATCCTATTAGAGAAGCTAAGCCATATTCCAACACTGTCTGCTTATCATGGGGGTCCTTTTGTAACTGCCTTATACCTCAGCATTACCAGGAAATTGATCGTTCCAGTCTGTGTTCATACCTATGCTTGTTTAGTCATGTTCTTAACATGTGTCTTGAGTCACCACAGCTCTGTGTAGGGAACGTGGGAGATGAGAGTGACCCTGGAGGGGGAGGGACTGGGCCTGCCTGCAGCCCAGTGTGTATCGTGATGTGGGAGGTGGTAGCTACGAAAGGAATTCTCCCAGGATGAGCTTCTGGCCCAGTACATCCCAGTAATTATTTTAATTAGTTTTTGTTTGACAGGTTGGCAGGAAGGGCACAGATAAATCAGACAGTCGTTTGGGGATTCTAAAAACTCATCTGCTTTCTACAGTTTTTAAAGTTGGTTCGAACAGACATCCACGTGTTGTCCCTCTGCCTGGTGATGCCATCCATGCTACTGAATAATTCTGTCATGAAATAGAAAAGACAAATAAGGGAAAAGCCATTACACATCGAACAGAGAACAACTTCGTGTCCCAAAACGGTGTAACAAGATTGCTCTCATGTCAATATTTTAATGTACGTGTGGGTCACAAGAACCTCGGTTGCTCCCGGGTTTCCATCTGTTGGTCTGAACATCATGTATCGTAAACCATGGCTGCATTGCTAAAGTGCCTGCAAATCCTGACGTGAAAAAAGCTTGAGATGAAAGCTCAGCATACCATGTATTAACAAAAAAGAAAAGAAAAAAAAAGACATGTACTGATATGCCTATTTTTTTTTACTGGCACATTGTATTTTCGTGTCCACTTGTTTCTAGGAAATATGTGAAGTGTCCATACACATACCTGTGTCTCTTTTGCATTTCTGTGTAACAGTTCTATTTGTTCATAATATGAGGTGATGTTTAAATGGTGTTGCCAATGTAAGTACGGTGACCCTGGATGACAGTGGCTGTTCCCCACAGCCTTCCCTGAGCTGTGAGAAACAGCTTTCCCTGTATATATGAGACTTCTAATAAAAGGCATATTTCTTCCTGTTTCTTTGTGGTGTCTGTAGTATTCTTGTGGAAACTCTCCTAGGTGGGGTTTTTAAAAAGCGTATTAGCAGATGTGATTTTTTTTCATATTTAGAGAAAGTCAAAAGCTTCCTCATATCTTTGTACAAACGCGGAAATGGGTGATTGATTGCTTATTTGAACACCTGATGAGAGAGGATACAGGAAAGAGAGAAAGACCTTCTTAATGAGTCCACTGGAACGTCCAGGCCACCGAAAGAAGCCTGGGGAATTCTGAATTGAAGGAGCCAATATGCTGGAACTAAATAAAAGAAGAATTTTTTTTTAGAAAAAGCTACATAACATTTCCATCACTGCCCTTTGCTCCCTTTCGATCATTTCTGCAAGCCAGATCTTTTGATTGAGTCCTAGGCTTGCGTCTTGTGAGTCCAGAGAAAGGTCCAAATTTTAGTCCACTTCCTTTACTAACCCAGTTCTTATTTCCCAAATTACAAAATAAGGCTTTGCTATTTCTCTTAGATGGACACTCATTAATATTTGTGCAGTGCCTTGAAGGCATAAAGGGCAATAAATCCCTAGGTAAGTTTTGTGCGCAGATCTAGATGTGGTCCCCACGCAAAGGGCAAGCTTTGCAAAGACCTGTTGAAAATGCCCTCCGTCTGGAGCGCCCTAGCATCACTTGGTTGTCATAGCGGCCCTCATCCTGTCATTCAATCCAAATTCTATCACCTCAGGATTAGTAACGAGAGTTGTATACAAGCCAAGGAACTAACATATCTTTGGTTCTTATATGCATGCAGCTGTGGGAAAGTAGAAAAGGGAAGATGGACAGATTTGTTAATTTTGTCACTGACTGGAAGCCCTGTTGCAAATGCCAAAACTCGCAGGTTATTTATCTCAACTGACAGTGAGAAGTAGAGCAGGAGAGGTGATATTGGATGTTATGGGGACCCAGATCACAAAGGGACTTATAGATTAAAACTGACAACTTGAGCTGCACTGAGAAGAGAAGTAGGAATAGGTATGGGCCAATATACAAGAAAGAATATGCTGTATGTAGCAATCTTGTCTAAATGAACTGACCTCTGGCTCCAGAACACTTCTCAAGGACTCACGAGATCACTGGAAGAGCCTGTCCGCAGGAAGAGCCAGGCTGGGCATGGTCAGCGCCAGCACTGTGCTCTGCCCTGCCCCCTAAAGGAGAAGTCCCCAGTCACAGAAGGAGGCAGGCACCAACCCCAAGGCCCACACTCAAATGACGATGGAGGTGGAATGACTCAACTGTCCCTCAGAAAAGACAGTCCCGCTGTTAACATTATCACCACTCTTAGTCCATTAAGACTATACATAGTTTTATATTATAAATATTTATATGTAAATATAAATTATGAAAGTACTATTATATAATGTATCTATTTGATCTGTAATGTGAGCTCCACCACCCCTCGCCTCTCCCTGTGGTTGGTGAGACCAAAGACAGCCCAGAGGTCAAATCATCCCATGATTGACAGGACTGTCCCACCAGCAGGATGGAGAGTGGGACATGGGCTTCTCAGGTTTTCTCCCAAGAAAGTCAAATACTGTCTATCAAATCAGAGGCAGTAGACCAAATGAATCTGCTGTTTCTTGGAGTGGGGGCAGTTGGTTTTATTGCAAACCCTTTTTGAAAAAGGGCAGAAGGTAAGCCGACAGAGCTGACTACTTTGTCAGCAGTGTGCTTTTCATCGTCTGCCAAAATGAGTCTGAAAACGAGGACAGAGGTAAGAAGAGACGAGGAGTCACAAGCCTTCTCTGTCCACATCATTGCTTGCGGTTTACCCAAAAATGGCAGCCACCTTCCGACTGCTCCCCTTCCTCCAAAAGTTTTCATTGGAAAGTACACGTTTGCATATTACATATAACAGGTATATATAGGACATGCAAAATGCGTATGTAAATCTATATTTGATTATTTTAACGCGTTCCTTATTTCATCCTATGAGTCCTTAAAACATAGTTTTTGCCCCTGGTCAAAGATGACGCAGATAGTAATTTGTTTCTGGCTTTGTTTGCTCATCACAGAAGAGCAAGTCACTAAGGTTCGACTAGCTCCCTCTCAGTATATTTCATTATGGACGTCCTCCTTGGTAGCATAGTGTGCCGTAAATTTAAATGTCTATTTAACAGGCTTTTTTTTTTTTTTTCCTTAACAAAGATTCCTCTGACGATGACATGTCAGGTAAGGAGATAATCTTCCTTTCTTACTTCAGAGACAGGATATCATCTTAATAAGGCAGCTAATAAGAACATTCTCAGGTCAGAAAGTGAGAGTGATGGAGATGCTGTAATGGAAAACCACCTTCTGCTCTGAGCGATGATTAGATCACAAACCAGGTGGAATTAAATTGACTTTTTTTTAATGTGTGGAGGATGAGGGTTGTAATTTTGAGCATAAGCTTTTTTTTTTTTTGAAACAAGTAACTGATATTTTACTTTAGATCTCATGGGAACAAGGGGAGATTGTCCTTGCACCCCACACAGAAGGAGCTTATTTTCCCATTAGATGGTTCTTCTCTCCAAAATTCATCGTCTTCCAGCCAGCGTTCATCTCCCCTCTTCCTTTTCCCTCAGCTCTCAGATCCCCTTCAGCAAAGTAAAAATCTATAGGTGTCCTTATGTCCATAAACTTAGTTTCTTTAGATTAAGCCCTATGGGAGGGAAGGTCATTGTCAAAGGATTTCATTGTGGGTCCTATAAGATCAAGCATCCTTTGCTAAAAAGGATAATCCCCTTTCCTCACAGGTTTTTCTTTCCTTTCTGAGTTCAGATTTAAATGATCAGTTTTTATTTACTCATTTTTAATTTATTAAAACAAGTGATATGTGCATGACCCTGTCATTCCCCAGATGGGTCTATTTCATACTGGATACAGGAGAAAAATGCAAGAATCAAGAGGCCTCCCACGGGGAGACTGAGCAACCACTCATCTCCCATCCTTAGCACTTATTCACTCACAGGATCAATTACATGTGTGAAAAACACACTTTTCTGAATTGCTCAGCTAACTGCTGAGTCACCTCACGCTGTTGTTGGCTTAGAAAAGTCATTTGGAGTTTGTTCCCAGACACTGCGATGTCTCACCATGATCTGATTCTCCTCCTAGGGTGTCACCAGCCTCGTGGATCCACTGCTGGAAGCTGGTGCTGGTGGCGGAGACTTCCCCTGTCTCTGAAGGCAAGTTTGCTGCTTGCTAGAAGGCTCCTTCTGAAGCTGAAGTTTGGCTTCCATGTGGGATTTTATGATGCAAATATTTTAAGTACAGCTTTGAAGATTTTGCCATTAAAAACAGTCTCACATGGCTCAGGGCCCAGCCGACTGCAAACGACAGGGGAAGAGTACCATATACTGCTGGCAAGTGACAGGAAGGAAAACAACACAAATTTCTAGCCCCATCATGACCTTGGCTAATGATCTGGTTTCAGGGTTCAGTTCATAGCTGGGATTCTTTTATTCAGCTCTGGTTGTCGGTGGCAACATACTGATCACAGCTGTTTATGTTGGGATGAAATGGTTGAAAACTTTAGCCTGACAACCCCGAGATGGGTCAGATTAGGGCTTGCCAATGAATGCGGGGTGGAGTATTCCGGAATAATGCAAGCCTTTGAACTTGTCTTGTGAAACCTCAAAGTCAATTTGTCCTGCACATGCCCTGACTTGTAACTCCATTTCCAAACTTTCTTTAATTTGAACTGCTGGGCTTGACTCTCATCTGAGCCCAAGGAGCTCCTCCTCTGGTCCAAGCCACCCAAGCATTTCCACAAAATCCGAACCTGCAACCGGAGAGTGCAGGCTGCCCAGGCTCCCATTTTTCTTGATTTATTCACGTAGCCCTTTACAATTTGCACACATTCTCATCTTTTCTTTTTGAGTCTCCAAACCCAGTGAAGCAGGTTAGAGAAATGATAGTCCAATTTTACACGTGAGGAAACCGAGACCCCCCAGACTTCGTGACTTGGCCACTTAGTGAGCTGCTCAGTCAGAACACAAAACCCATTGTCCTAACTGCACCTACCTCTGTGGTATCAAGGTTTTATCAAAAGAAAATTTTTTAGTTTTTAACAATTTAAAATTCCTTACTTGATTCCTTCCTTGATTCCTTACTTGATGGTAATTTATTGGGAAAAGAAACACAATACAATGTATAGTTATGAAATTAGTAATGCCTTGAAAATAAATTTTATTAATCACAATAATATTTACCTACACTTGAAAATTACATATGTATATTACATATTGTATATACATTATATGAATATAATAGTTTAGTTGCACTTTAGGCCCAGTGTGTTCTAAATTTAAATGCATATTGAAATAGACAAAACCAGGTTTCCATGTGGCTTTGCAGACCTCCCCGGGTCCCTTGTTGGTAACCACTACTCCATACTTTGCATCTTTTGCTTCACTATTTAAACCTCTTAGACCAGAAGACGTTCACTTCTAAGCCAGGTTTTAATGTTGAGAAAAGACAGTTATATGAGACTGAAGACAGTGAAATTAAAAAATAATAAAATGAGTAAGAGCTGCAACATGAGGAAAGTCGGGTGCTATAGAACAGAGTGGCCGCAACAAAAAGCCAATCCTAGCAGTCGGATTTCTAAAACAGATGCAAAAGAGCCCCTAAATGCTAACACAAAATAGGAAAGATCACTGGGAGAGGGTGAAACAATGACAATTTGCATTAAATCATCAGCTGTTTTCAGCACGGACGGGAAAATCCTGTTACAAAACGTTGTAAGACATTTGCAGCGGGTTTCAAGCTGGACATGCATTAAAAACGTTAAGCTTTTCACATTGGGAATAAAAATGTAAATCATTTTCAGTGAGGATTTTTTTTTACGTATCATTTTTCTTTTCCTGTTATTTTATTTTTGGTAAGGAGACGACGTAGTAATAACCAAGGGGAAATGATCCATTTACAGAGTTGGAGAGATAAAATTTATCTTCAAGGAGATAGAATATTAATTATGCATAGAAAGAAACTTTTAGCTCTGAGACATTCCCAATGAAAGGAGTGGGTTGTTACACTCAAGATCCTAATCAAATGCAGGTACATTATCTCAGAGAGAAACTTTGGCAGTTACTGAGCATGCTTCAGAGCAGGGAGCAGTTTGGGCAGCTCACTAGGACCAGCCTCTCCTGAGAAGCTCTCTGGTTTGCTCGCTGCTTCTCCATGCAGATTGTGTCCATCCTCCGCTTGCAGGGGCGCAACGACTCCTTGTTCCTTTAAATGGACTGCAGGATTGTGAGGCAGGAGCCGGTAGCTGATGCTCCGGGCCTCTCTCCTCTGATTCCGCACCCCTAGAGAGGAGACTAGACAGCCACAGACTCAGCGTCTGGAAGAACTGGCTGGCCTAAGGAAACGAGTTTCCAGTAACTGATCCAGCTGAATGAAGCACTTCCCTTGGCTCCAGCTCTCTTTCCCATAAGCCAGGAAATGTTCTCTCCATTCATTAGGGGATGGCTCATCAGGGACTTCTAATCTCTGATTGGTTACTTCATCTACTATGCTAGTATCTTCTGCTGCCTGTCTTAAGTCCTTTTAGGTGTTCCCTTTGGATTAATTGAAAATCACGGATATCCTGTTTGTGTGATTTGTTCAAGGTAATTGTAAGGCCATGAAGAGGCCAATATTGATTTTTTAAAGAAGACACCACTTTATATGGCCTGAAATGTACAATGTAGAATGTGGAGTCAGTTTAAGAAAAATCATTATCATATTCCTTCATCCATTTATTCATTTGTGGCTCCTACTCTATGCCAAGTGCGGTACTAGATGCTGAGAACACACCCGTGACTAATGCAGTCTTGTTCTAATGGGGACTTCCTATATAAGTCAGAGGGTGAACCTGGCATGAAGAAAGTACAGCAGGATCAGGGGATAGAAAATGAAAAAGAGCAGGGGCTACTATTTCAAGCAAGAGATTATTATGATAATGATCAAAGCTGGATAAGGAGAAAAGTAAGGGCAAGAGGCAGGGAAGAACACAAAACAATGATGGCCAATGGAATGGGGTCAAAGAATGGTTGGAGTTGGGGATTGGAGGTGTCACTGAGTGGATGCTTTACGTAGAGGGCATGTTGATAGGTGTGACCATGGAGAGGGTGTTTGACATGAGACGGAAGACAAGATCGGTGGAGGTGAGGCAGGCAAGGAACAGAGAGACCAGTATGTTAGAAGGATCTTCTTCCCATGGGTATTGAAATTAACAACAACAACAAATATGGTTGTAAGATAGTAATTCATGTGCTAAAATCTTCACAGAATAAAGATCTATAGAAGTCTGTACCAAAGAGTGAAATAACACATATTATAACTAATTAACAGCTTCAAACGAGTTGCAGCGGAGTAGGGAGAAGGAAGGAATAATGACCAGGAAGTGTCAGTAAGGAGTGGGGGAGACACCTCTCCCATTTCCAGGCCCAGAATATTCACTATGTGAGTGAAAAACAGCCCTCCATGAAGGCTGCGGGTATCAATTAGAGCAAGAAGCAGTGCAGGTGGACAGAGCCCCTCAGGGATGTCAGGACACATAGCAAGGGTGACCTGGAGACCTTGGGCTTCTTCTGAGGTCTGAAGTAAAAGGGATGCAGAGCAAGATAAGTTCTGTAGTCTCTGAGGGGGAGGTTCTAACCATTTCCTACTTCTCAGATGCTGGGGACGAGTCTTCCAAGGAGTATCATGGGTCCTCTTTGACTAGGGATGGGCTGCTATAACTTCCTGCATCCCAGCAGCCAAAATTCCCAAACCCACTTTGTGCCATGTGTGTCTGTGTCTTCACAATAGACATATTCATTCATTCATTCATTCATCCATGGGCTAATGTATACCAGCCAATGTGCTGTCACTGTACATTTAATGGTGAACTAAAGAGATATTGATGTTCTCACAAAAATTAGAGTCCAAAGGCAGAAGCAAACATGAATTAAATAAACACAGTAATAGATGTAGTCTGTTAGATGATGACAAGGGCTCTCAAAATAAAGTTGCTGTGAGAGAATCAGAAGAGGAGGGGACATAATTAAAATGAGGCGTAGTGAAAGGTTGTGAGGGGTGACGTGTAAGCTGAGACTTGATGGATTCTGAAAACCTAACGAGAATTTGACAATATGTCAAGAACCTGGAAACTTCATGCCCTATGACATTGAGGCTTTGTTTTCTAGACTCTAGAATGAAACAACCCAAAAGGTGGACAGAGATTTATGCCCAAAGCAGTTTAAAAAAATTTTGTTTATAAAAAAATTAGACCTAAACATGAAAAATAAGAGAATGGCTAAGTAAATTATGGTATAAGATGTAGTTGTATGTTATCAGTCACTAAAGTTAGTGTTTATGGACAGTGTCAAGATGGCAGCATAGGTGGACTCTGAACCTGTCTGGGAGGAGTCCCACAGACACAACAAGTTTATAACTGTTCTTGGCACAATTACCCTTGAGAGAAAACTGAAAACTGGATAAAAAGAACCCCCACAACAAGGGACAGTGCTCACTGAGGTGGAAAAGGCATAAATTACTTTCTGGAGAGAAAAAGACACCTTCCAGCTGTGGCACCTCATGGCCAGCCAGGAGCAATCTTAAGGTACAAAGCCTTCCCTGGAGAAGTGGGGGATCTGAGTGGGGGACCATTGCAACAAGAAGCAGCTTTTGGACTCAGTACCACAGAAATAAGGGTCATAATACTAGGCTTTGCTGGGTATTAACTACAATGGGAACACCCCCTGGAAAGTTATTAGCCATAAGGGGGAAAAAACGCTGCTCTTACAGGGCCCACACACAAATTCACCTGTTTCAGAAAGCAAACTAAAATCACCAGAAAGAAAGGTGCACAATCCTTTGGTGAAAAGAGACTCACCTGATAGGCTCTGGGTGCATATTGCTGAGAGGTGAGACCCGCCCCCCCCCCACCAGGGACTGAGACACTGGCAGCAGCCATTATTGTGACCTAGTACAGGTGTGCTGACACAGATGCTGGCTGACGCCATTGGAGTTCTTCACCTGGCTGGTTAGCCTAGGGGTCTGCCACACCCACTAGAGTGCAAATTTAATCCAGCTCAGCCAGGGCAGGAAGCCAACCCTAGGGATGGGCCACACTCAACAGGAAGACCTCGGGTAACTTGTGGGCTTGCATAGGCGGGGTGCTTGTAATTTCTGTAGCCAGGCAAATAGTCTGCCTCTGTAGGGCAGGGCATGCATGAGGGGAGCGCCTGCATTAGTGGAATGTGTGGGGCCTCTGCAGTGGGGTAACTGGGTCCACTTCAGTGGGTCAGGGCACACACGGGGCAAGACTGTGTTGACAGTGTGGGTGGCTCTATGGGTGGTGGGGCTTGTCAGCTGCAGTAGACTTGTGTTTCTCAAACAGCCACATAGGGGATCAGCCTCACTTTCCAAAGCCTGAAACAATTGGATGCTCCCGTGCCTGGTGCCGGCCCCACTCAGCTGCAATCCTGAAACAGCTGACAACAGCCTTGCAGGCCAGAAGCCTACAGCAATTGTATGCCCTTGAGCCTAGTAACCAGCCACGCTGCAGGCCTACTCACTAACAGAAAAACAGCAACAGGAATGTGCTATTAGACTTTGCAACCAACTGTGCTGGGGCTCCCTATGCTGGACATAGTGACTGAAGGGTCCATAGTAGCCACATACAGGTGAGCATTACAACAAGCTGACCAGGGGGACAGCCTAGCCTCCCCAGGCACCTGCTGCAAGAGCAGCCCTGCCACAACAGAAGGACACATGCAGCCCACACAGGGGTCACTCCTGGAACAATTGGAACTGGTGACAAGAGGGAAACACACTGCTAGGCTTCACAAGGGATCTCTTACATAAGGCCACCTTATGTACGATCAGGAGACATAACTGACCTACCTAATACATATATATAAACACATAGAGGCAAAATGAGGAGACAAAGAAATATGTTCCAAGTAAGAGAACAGGACAAAACCCCAGAAAAAGAACTAAACAAAACATGGAAATAAACAATCTACTTGACAAAGAGTCCAAACAAAGAGTCATAAGGATACTCACTGATCTTGGGAGAAGAATGAATGAACTCAGAATTTCAACAAAGAATTGGAAAATATAAAAAAGAACCAATGAGAAACGAAGAATACAATACTGGAAATGAAAAATTCACTAGAGGGACTCAATAGGAGAGTAGAAGATACAGAAGAATGGATCAGCAAGCTGGACAAAAGAGTAGAAGAAACCACCCAAGCTGAACAGATAAAAGAAAAAAGAATTAGAAAGAACAAGACAGTCTAAGGGACCTCTGGGACAACATCAAGCACACTAACATCTGTATTATAGGTGTCCCAGAAGAGAGAGACAAAAGTGTAGAGAATCTATTTGAAGAAATAATAGCTGAAAACTTCCCTAACTTATGGAAGGAAACAGACATCCAAACACAGGAAGCAGAGAGCACAAAACAAGATGAACCCAAAGAGGCCCACACCAAGGCACATTATAATTAAAATGTCCAAAATTAAAGATAAAGAGAGAATCCTAAAAGCTACAAGAGAAAGGCAACACCTTACATACAAAGGAAACTCCACAGGGCTATCAGCTGACTTCTCAGCAGAAACCTTACAGACTAGAAGGGAGTGGCACAATATATTTAAAGTGCTGAAAGGAAAAATCCTACAGCCAAGAATACTCTACCCAGCAAAGTTATCATTCAGAATGGAAGGAGAGCTAAAGTGTTTCCCAGATAAGCAAAAACTAAAGGAGTTCATCACCAAGAAACCAGGCTTACAAGAAATGCTAATGTGACTTATTTAAGTGGAAAGGAGAAGACCACAAATAGGAATCAGAAAATTATCAGGAAGAAAAAAGCACTGGTAAACGCAAATACACAGTAAAGGTAGCAGATCAGCCACCTATGAAGCTAAGATAAAGGTCAAATGACAAAAGTACTAAAATTATCTGTTTCCATCATAAGAAGGTAACAGATACATGTGCACAAAAAAGAGGTTAGATATGATATAAAAAGCATAAAATGCTGGAGGAGGGGAGTAAAAGAGTAGAAGTTTTAGCAAGAGGTCAAACTAAAGAGACAATCAACTTCATATAGATTGCTATATACCTAGGTTATTATTTTTGAATCTCATAGTCATCATAAAACAGAAACCTATCATAGATACACAAAAAATTAAGAGGAAGTACCCAAACATAATACTAAATAAAGCCATCAAACCACAATGGAAGAGAGCAAGAGAGGAAGAACTACTAAAACACCCAGAAAAAAGTAACAAAATGGCGATAAGGACATTCTTATCAATTGCCACTTTAAATGTCAATGGACTAAATGCTCCAATCAAAAGGCATAGGGTGGCTGATTGGATAAAAAAAAAAAGACCCATATATATATGCTGCATACAAGAGACACACTTCAGACCTAAAGACACTCACAAACTGAAAGTGAAGGGATAGAAAAAGATACTCCATGAAAATGGCAATGAAAAGAAAGCTTGGGTAACAATACTTATATCAGATAAAATAGACTTTAAAACAAAAACTGTAACAAGAGAGAAA